CACCGGTGACCGTCATGGGAATTTTCCATCCGCGTCGTCGGTGAGCGTCATAGGAAGTTGGAGAACTTGTGCCCGTCAGAGGAATTGCCGTTCAAGTTGTGTCGGTCACCGGTGACCGTCATGGGAATTTTCCATCCGCGTCGTCGGTGAGCGTCATAGGAAGTTGAAGAACTTGTGACCGTCAGAGGAATTGCCGTTCAAGTTGTGTCGGTCACCGGTGACCGTCGTGGGAATTTTCCTTTGGTCAAATAATAAAACACATATTTGGAAGAGTGAATGAACTACACTGGACATTCGGTTGGATCCAACGGCTTCCTCAAAGAGTGAAAGATTCAGGTATAGAACTGTAAACCCTTTACGACCGCGCACTTCAGATTCCGGGGCAACGTTTTTACGGGCGCAACAGAAAACGACACTGGGTTTTATTCGTCCGCTTCGAGTGGGAGATGGATGACCGGTACGAACGAGGGAAAATTACAATGTTCCAACACTCACCGGGGAAATAGGCTTTTGGACCCTTTTGTGAACGCGCGCGCGGTTGGTTGGCAATGTTGCTGATTGCGAGTACAGTCTAGTTTTTTTACGAAGAGGAAAAGAATATAGGAATGTGGAACTGGGATAACGTGTGGTTGGCAATGTTGCTGATTATGAGTAGCGTCTAACTCACTTTAAAAAAAGGGGAAGAAAAAATATCTCCTTAAAATTTTGTTAGTTGTAATGAAGTTGGAATTGAGTTACTGAGATGTACGAAGTCTGAGGATTTAAGAAATTCAAAGTCAGAGGAACTGAGAAACACAGAAACTAAGGATCTGGGGTCTCAAAGTCTCAGACTTTGGGGACTCAAAGACTGGGGGGGGGGGCAACGGCTGAGGATCTAACATAGTCAAATGCTGAGGATCTGAGAGTCTCAGCATTTCGGGATCTGAGTGATTCAATCTTTGAGGGTCTGAGTGGTTTAATCTCTGTGGGTTTGAGTGGTTCAGAATATTGAAACCTGAGAGTCAAGATATAGCGATCTGAGAGTCAAATTATTGTGACATAAGTGCTAAAATAAAACGCAGTAGGTACTATGTTTTTTCTACACTAGAATATTCAATATTTTCGCTCAACGAAGGTAAAGTTTTATTGCACTTGTCACTTCGTTTTTTGTCCACTCACACCACGTATAGCCTCATTTTACGATTAAATATTCACAGACGATCTCTCTGTGATCCGTTAATTAAGAAAAAAACATGCTGGTGACCTTTTTTTAGGCTATGCATTCCGGGTGAGATCGGCGAATTCGTAAAACTTTTAATTGCAGCGCGTGGTCCGGTTTTCGCCTGGTGCGCGCGTGTAAACGCCTCACTGATGGGTAGAAAGGAAACCCTGCAGGGGCTCCCTGGGTCCGCCATCGCATGCAGACACCGTTATGCATGTCGCACGCGCGCGAACGAAAGGGACATACCCGCGGGGAATGCAATCGCGAAGCGAGAAAATCAGCTTTCGCAGGGGTTCTCAACCAATCGGGGGGGGGGGGGGGGGAGGAGGAGCCAACGACGCCATGATCTGATTACAGTTTCATCTCCTCTTGGAACATTTACAATTTTCAATCACTTATATCACCTCGTCGTTGTTCTAGGAACATATTTTCTAGTTACTTTTTTTGTGATACAATATGGAATCGAACGAAAGTAACTTAAAATAAAACATAAATAAACATAAACTTTAAATAAAACATTTAAAGTCTTCATTTCCAGAATGAAAATTTAGCAGGTCATACTCATTTAGCACACCAATAAAACAATGTTGAAGTTGATAAATGAAGTAACTTCTATGAATTTTAGGGATCCTCAGTGTTCTCAACTTTTATGTATAGATAAAGTTGACCCACAGATAGATAAAGAACACCAACAGTGTTCTCAACTTTTTCATGGAAAGCACGAATTTTTAGGGAATTTCGTTTTTATTTTTGACTGAGACCAATGACACAAAAGGGTCGGAGGAGAATAATAATGTATGGAACAAATCTGCCATGGTTAGGTTGATGTCTATTTTCATTTAGAGAATGAAAGAAGTTTGTTTTTGACCATTCGAGATGCTCAGAGTTGAACCGCTGTCCGTCGGGTTGAAGTCCAGAAAATGAACCGACGAGGCACTGTTTTTGGTGGACGTTGCCACAAAACGGATTTGGTGACCGAATGTGAGAAAAAATTCTGCGTCGGTCACTGGTGACCGGCACGACGTTGAAGATAAAGTTGTAGCGGTCACCGGTGACCGGCGTGGCATTTAGGATAAAGTCGTGACGGTCACCGGCGACCGACGCGGTATTTGGGATAAGGTTGTGCCGGTCACCGATGACCGGCGCGGTATTTGGAATAAGGTTGTGTCGGTCACCTGTGACCGGTGCGGTATTTGGAATAAGGTTGTGTCGGTCACCGGTGACCGGCGTGGTATTTGGGATAATGTTATGCCGGTCACCGGTGACCGTCGCAGCGATGAATCTGTTAACATTCCTTGATAGTGTTAGTAATAGTGATTCATCCAGTAAATTCGAGCGATAGTGACAATTTGCCCGGGATTAATTTTGGTCGGGATGAAAGGGTCAATTGGATGCGTGTGTGAGCTGGTACGATAGTGTCGTCGATTGAAAAAGAGAGGCGGATCAGGCCATATGCGACCCTCACACAGGAAAGGGAGAGTGCAGGATAAGTACGGATCGCTTCGAGTTGATGCAATGGCGAACCGGTAACACGATCAGGGGGCCTTAAGTACGGGGCCCTTTGCCCTGAAAACCGTTGTTGGGTATTTCGAAACGATGGATTCTGGGAAGAGAAAGTAGCATGTAGTAGTACGTTCTTGATACTACGTTTTATGTAAATATTTTATGTATAGTTATACGTTCTACAGTAGTGCCCCGATAGATGGACATAATCGAAACTAACACCCTTATTGTGTGTATATTGTCAATGCAAAAAATAATCCAGTCTTTATTAACACTTGTCTCTACAGAAATAATATTTACTACGGTACTGCCTCGAAACATGATCATATCCCTGAACACATTATGTACGATCACGTTTCATCTATACATATAAATCAATATAATTCTACGGCAACAGTAGATTTAGAATTTCAACAATGACCATTTATCGAGGCACTACTGTAAATACATATAAATCAATATGATTGTATAGAAAAAATTAGAGAGTAGATTTAGAATTTCAACAACGACCATTTATCGAGGCACTACTGTAAATCAGATAAAAGTAAGTTCAAACTGCATCTATACATATAAATCAATATGATTGCATAGAAAAAATTAGAGAGTAGATTTAGAATTTCAACAACGACCATTTATCGAGGCACTACTGTAAATTAAAGAGAAATAAGATCAAACTGCATCTATACATATACAAATCAATATAATTCCACAGCAGCAGTTAAAGAGTAGATTCCGAAATTCATTAACAAGCAGTTATCGAGACAGATGCAATAACTCGGAAGAAAATCGCAGTTCCATCGAGTCGGTCTAGAAACGTTAGCAAGTCGCTACGCGTGTGATTATTTAGCAGCGGTTTTCAAGGCCTCCGAGCAAGCACCATCGCGCGCCAGGTCGTTTTCACTGGCACACATATACCGTGTACCTACAACCTGTCCCGCGATCGCGGCGACGGCTTGGCTCTATCGTGCCTTAATATCGCCGGCTTATCGTTACTAGTTTCCCAGTGCGTGTGCGACACCCGCGCACGCATCCGTGCGCACAATCGCCCCGGTTGCAACCTGCAAACCGCACGTTCCGATTACATAACCGATCGTTCACGAACCCGGCAGTTATACGGACAAACTGGGTGTTTCGAAAGTAATCGAGCACTCCGGGGCTGACGACGATTAGTCGCCCAGAGCGTTGCCGGACACCGTTTGCTGCCCGTCCAACCGTGGCGCGGTTATTATTAGATTGAACTCGAACTCGTCGTTCGAACGCGTTCGTTTCGGTGGATTCTGATAGATTGGGTGCTGATGCTGACTGGTTACTAGCTATTTCATGGCCTTCAGTTATGTCATAGTTATGGTCTTGTAGTTATAGTCATGTTGTGTTCATGTTATAACCATGGTACAATCATGTTATAATCATATTGTAATCATGTTATAGATGTATTACAGTCTTAGTACAATAATATTGTAGCCCTATTACAGTCATAGTGTAGTCCTAGTGTAATCCTAGTACAGTCCTATTATAGTCGTATTATAGTCCTATTATAGTCGTATTATAGTCCTATTATAGTCCTATTATAGTCCTATTATAGTCCTATTATAGTCCTACTATAATTCTATTATAGTGCTAGTAGCTCTACTATACTTCTATTATAGTCCTAGTAGTCCTACTATACTTCTATTATAGTCCTAGTAGTCCTACTATAATTATATTATAGTCCTAGTAGTCCTACTATAATTCTATTATAGTCCTAGTAGTCCTACTATAATTCTATTATAGTCCTAGTAGTCCTACTATAATTATAATATAATTATAGTAATCCTACTATAATTCTATTATAGTCCTAGTAGTCCTACTATAATTATATTATAATCCTAGTGTAGTCCTGTTATAATGTTATTGTAGTCCTAGTATAGTCAGGCTATAGTAGCATTTATAGTCTAGTAGTTACAACATTGTCTTTGATAGTTTCTTTCCGTTCAATTTCTTCATTGTATTTGGGTCCAGAAATTAGATAGTTGAATTTGGACGTTTTCATAACCTTTGGAATTGGCATGCGAGGAACTGGATCGCTGATTAAGTTTTTCAAATAGAAAATGTTCTTCTATAGTGATAAATAGATAATCAGACACCTTGTCACCGGTTAGAGTTCAGTTAGAGTTTAGTTGAGTTGTTCTTTACATCTATTTTCCTGTAAAGAATTTAGTAGTTTTTCCTTCAGAAATAGATTAACGTGGGTTCTTAAGTCCAGACTAAAGGCCAGTCTAGTAAATAAGCATTAACAGCGACATGGAATGAGACTCACCTCTGGGTGGTGCCGGTGGGGCCCTCTTAGGGGTGTCGTCCGCAGAGGGTGTTCTCTCCCTCATGCTTTCCTGTGGGACCCCTTAGAGCCACCACTTCGGCGAACCCATATGCCACGTCCTCCTGAAACATATCAAGAAGAAAAATCTTAAAGACCTATTCATTCGACGGTCAGTACTTTCACTGCCAACAAACACAGGGCTATGTCCCTAGTTCTTTGCAATTAAAACCCACTGGGGCAGAAGTACACCGTCGAGTACTTCAGAATAGTTGAGACACTACTGTGTGTCACAATGAGTAAAATATGGATTTGCATACATGCAGTTTGTTTCCACGGAGATTGTTATAAATATTTCTGCTGTTCCAGTCTACTTTACAAACTTTTAAGTATTACATTTCTAACTATTTCACTTTCTTATATAATATTACAATTTTAAGAAATACGGTATTAGCAATTGAAGCAATTGCAATATCTTTATGACGAGTATACTCGACAAATGTACAAAAAATTAACATTTCTTTATGACATGTATACTCGTCAAGAACAGAAAAAAAATGCTATATATTTATAACGAATAAAGTCGTCAAATATATAAAAAATTACCTTTTCATTATGACGAGTATAATCGTCAAGTACATATAAATTGCCATTTCTTTATGACGTGTATACTCGTCAAAAGAAATTATCAGGTTGAGTATCTTACTAGGTTCAGAATCAAAATAGAAGATATTGATGCACATGACGAAAGTTTTGTCTTTAATTGTATTTTACAAAGCCCTGTACGCAATAAATATATAAAATGCATAATCTGGTAATTATAATACGTAGTTGTAACGTCGATCTATCCCGACGACGGTTTTGCGGTTGAGAACCGCTGTCGGTGGTGTTCCTACGCTCGATGATGCAGTAGGAGAGGTCTCGCCTAGCTTCAGCCTGGCGTATTGCGATGCCCGCCGTCGACGACGACGGTCTATCGTTGTGGTGAGCGTGTGTGCCTCGTAACATCGTATCACCTGCACGGGTATACTGTTACTCGATTCTGTTTCCGAGGCCCTCCGCAACCATCCTTTTTTTTTTCACCATCCGTCCGTCGCGAAGCGATGCGCAGAATCCGCTCTTCTGTCTCCGTTTTCCGTGCTTATTGGGACACGATGCGCGCGCGCGCGCGCTGGTCATCGAAATGGATCGCGAGGAACCGACGGTTTCGGGGCTTTATTTGCTCTTGCTTTTGATCGGTTTGTTTCGCACATTCTCTTCTGGTTTTCCATCGCACAAAGGCACACGGTCGTCGCGTGACTACAACAGTACGTACGTCTGAGGGTTCTTGAGGAGATATCTTTGTCAAGTGAAGTTTGGATTGGAGTTTCGAAATACTTGATAGTTTAAGTGACTGGAGACTAGAGTACCTAAAGGTCGATGTACTCGAGGATCAAAGGATCTGAAGAGTTAAGTACCCCAAAGTCGAGGTACCCGAAAGTCGAGGTACCCGAAAGTCGAGGTACCCGAAAGTCGAGGTACCCGAAAGTCGAGGTACCCGAAAGTCGAGGTACCCGAAGATAAAAGTATCTAATGATTGAAGTATCCAAAGTCCAGTGCCTGAATTTAGGGTATCCAAAGTCCAATGACCCTGAATCGAGAGTACCTACCAAAAGTCCAAAAGTCTCAGAATCTGGAGTACCCAAAGTCCCAAAGTATTAAAATCTGGAGTACCCAATGTCCAATGACCCTGAATCGAGAGTACCTACCAAAAGTCCAAAAGTCTCAGAATCTGGAGTACCCTCAGTCCCAAAGTATTAAAATCTAGAGTACCCAAAGTCAAACTTTCCGGAATCTAAATGATCAACAGTGAAAGCTTTTGGCATTTGGAGTAGCCAAAGTGAAATCACCCTAAATTTAGAATTCCCAAAGGCTCATGAACCTGAATTCAAAGTAGCAAAAACCTATCGAATCTGGATCTGGAATATTTGAACCTAAATAATCTGAACCTCAAATGTCTCAATCATGAAGTATCTAGGCTTGAGGAGTTTAAAGGACTGATTTACCCATATCTACAAATAATTCCTATTTTCCATCTCCCTTCCGGTACACCCTGTATGAGTAACAGAACCGATCGGTTCGACCGATAGATAACGCACAATTTCGTGGATGTTCGAAGTGCCTCAAGCAGCAGTCACTGGCAAACATTAAGAGATAAGAAACATTTGAAGTAACATCTTATCTGGGACACTCTATTCTTCGCTGATAACCAAATAACCCGGAATTACTCAATACTAATAGATAATCACCTCCATAATATAATTGATCTTAAAAACATCCAAATCCATTCTATTCGACCTGCTTTCGTTATAAATTCCCTAACCTGCTCGATATTGTAACCAATAAAGAAACACGTGTTAACGATTAACATACAAACTTTCATATTTCATTGGACCAGCTGCAAATGCCGATTGCAAAGTGAAAAGATAGTGTCACGTTACGACCACACAAAGGCTGGATCAAACAAACACACCGAACATTGTTCGGCTCCTGTACAAAACTAAACAAACGATAAGACAGAATCCGCTCGTTTCTATCTCCCGGCTGCATGCACGCACGCGTGCATCCGTAATCAGGCGCCAGTGGTGCTCAATCACCAATTTCCATCGTTCCTATTACCATGAATTTCCGTGAAACGCCAGACATTTCGTATCATCGAAATGCTGTGCGAACAAATAGGCGCTCCCGTTTACGTTAACGCTTGCTCTTAGAACAGTGTTTCTACCAGTGGTTCTCAACTTGGGCGTGAAACGCTGGAACACCACTGTGGATCGTTTATTGGTCGGTTCTACGGTGTAATGGGCATAATTGCTACGACTGACAGTCCGTTATTAGACGTGTCGCTCCTTGAGAACCGCGAGATACTTGTGTCGAGCAGTGGTTCTCAATAAATCGATGACATAATTGCTGGTTTCTGAAGATGTGCATGTCATACAGGACGGTGACAGGTAATCTTGTGGTCTCTACAAGGCATTTTCTTATCAACTGTCTCTCAACGATTAGGTTATTCTTCAAACAGAAGTGACAGAGGGGTTGTAGGAGGTTAGGATGAGTCATTCGTAAAAAATGTAAGGGTCAATCAAAAGACAGTCTGTTCAGACAGTCGTATCAAACGAGTAGTCCTTTATTTCTTCTCAAGTTCATTTCTTACCAAGAATATCAGAAGTTAATCATACTTTTCGTCGTTCCTCCATTCGGACGCCATTTTGATTAAGCCTAAGGGCGGGAAAGTACACTCGATTCAAACTGATAGGGTTAAGTCGTAAGTTATTTTATCGTAAATTCCGTATATTTAACGAATAATAAGTAAAATTCTTGGACGGATATCTTGTTGCGGGTCATGATTGACCCAGCCACTATTCGTATAATGGGGTGAAGAAACTTTTTTTCTAAAAAAAAAACAAAGGATCAGTTATTGTGGACCTCGGAGCAGAGAATATGAACGCCTGAACACTGAATCCCTATAAATCAAAGGTTGTCCAGAGGGGTTGTGTTTGGCTGGAATGCTGAAACGCGGCATTCCGCCGTCGGAAAAGTTTGCAGTGCAACACTGTTACCGGAATCATTCCCTTTTTATCCACCTTCTTCTTCGTCGTCGTCTTTTTCGTTCCTCGACAGTTTTCATAGAAACGCGACGGTACTTAAAATGACCGTGATATCGATTAAATGCCTGGATTTTGTACTCATCACACAGGTCGGCCGATCGATACTAATTAAGTAAACAGTTCACCTAATGTTTGCCTTTCGATAAACAAGAGGAAAGATGGGGGAGATTAATTAAAATTCAAAAATATATTAACGATATTGTAAATATTTACGTAATATTCTTTCGAAAAAAAATTCATCAGGCAGATACCCTGAAATTTTAGGACCTGGGCTAGAAAAGGATAGTGAAGCAGAGGTTTTTTTAATCGATTTTCATGCTTGATCGAAATTAGGTTAGAAAGTGAATGGTTGGACGTCTAAATAGCTCGGTGTTACGAAACTGTGGCACGATCACCTCCCAGTGGTTAATAAAGCACGGTATAAAGTAACCATCAACGGTGGTTTTATTCAATGATTCCAATGACACGGGGCACGTCATGTGCAGTGCCTCTCATGGTGGAGTGGAATATCAGGTCATGCGTGACATCGTGCATGTTTATGCAAAATTAGACATGTATGTTTTTTCGTTAATATTTTACAGTTTGTACAAAGTTTGTAGTCTAATTATGAGCGGTAGGAAAACGGTAGCCCCGCCCTTTTTTCCATTAGGAACATTTATCAATAAATATATCAGATCCCACTTGATCTAAAAAGTTGATATTTTGAGAAAAGTGTCTCCTTGGCAGACTGATTAAATTATGTAATTCTAAAGAGTAAGATATATTTTAAGGTTCGTCTGAAACCCCGTCCCATTATCTCCAATCCCAAGCCACGCCCCATTGGTATTGGTCATCTTACGAAATACTATTCTCCCTTAACAATGAAATTATGTAATATCAGATCAGAGCACGTAATGTCAATTAAGCCACTTAATTAATTATATGTTGTATAATTCGATGGATTAGTGGATATTGTTCTAGGAGGAGGATTCTAGCCCCGCCCCTTTTTCCATTAGGAACATTTATCATGTAATGTTTGACATAGTACTTGATCAGGAAAGTTGATATTTTGAAAAAAGTGTTTCCATGACAGACTGATGAAACACTCTAATTCTTTATTCGTTTGAAAACCCACTCCTTATTCCTATCAATCCTAAGCCACGCCTTCCTGGTGTTGATCACTTTACCAAACAGTATTTTCCATTAACATAGTATCAGATCAGAGCAATGCCAATTAGAACACTTAACTAATTATACATGGTATAATTCTGATGGGATAATACTAGCCCCGCCCCTTTTCCCGTTAAAAAAAAATTCCTGATTTAATGTATCAAAAATCATTTGAGCCAGAAGTCTAGTATCTAATAGAAAATGCTTTCTCAACATCTTCATTAAATACTATTACTTCAAGATCCCCAATGGCTTCGCCCTTTTATCCTAACAAGTCCCAAGCCACGCCCCCAAGATCTGTCCAACGATACCGGGCCATGTACTGTCCGTTT